TACATACATGCATACGTACATACAAACAGACACAGAGAGACAGACAGAGACGGACAGAGACAGGCGGACGGACGGACGGACAGACAGAAAGACAGAGTCAGATAGAGAGAGGCAGACAGAGAGAGGCAAACAGAGGGACAGACACAGAGAGACACAGACAGACACACACACACACACACGGACATAGACAGACACAAACAGACACAGACAGACATCCATGCATCCATACATCCATATATATTCCACACATGCATACATCCGTACATGCATACATTCATACAAAGGCGACCCCCATCCAGAAGCTTAGGTGTGCTCGTGTACCCCACGATATCAACATGTACGGTGGCCAGGTTCGCCATCGAAAAAGCAAGTATGTGCATAGTTAGACTGAGAGACAGATAGATAGATAGATAGATAGATAGATAGTTGGTATGTGTGTAGATAGCCTTAGGTTTAGATCGATCGAGGTCGTTCAAAGGAGGCTTGTTGCGATGGGCACTGTCTGTCAGGAGGGAATTTGTTAAGGTACAGGTTTAGGTCGCTTCAGCTGGGGTCGTCTGTGCAAAGGACTGTTCTTCTCAGAACGAGTGAGTTTGTGGAAGTTTGTAGCATCAGACCGAAATTCATATCAGTGATCTCTCTCGCCCTCTCCCTCTTCTTCCTTCAGGTTAGGGGAGCGCGTCAAGCTCCCCGGCCCGTAGGGCCCCCCAGTGTTCTGGGGCTTTCGGGGAATCTCTACACTCTCTCCCTTTCCCCTTTCTGACTGCCTGGCTGAAATACCTTTCGTGCGTACAGTCGATGTGAAACATGGGGATTGGGGCTAGGTTTGTGCCCCCCTCGACCGTTGTCAACGCGCACGTCTCGGCCCCTTGTTGCAGCATGTTGCAGCTTTAGCACGATTCTCCGAGCGGCTGAGTGTGTCGATGTCAGCACAATAGACAACCTCAGCAACTCAAACTTTTTTCCAGCCTGAAAATCATTACACCTTACTTGTGTAGGCACCACCTTTCCTCACGTTTGAAGGGAAGGGTTTCTGGTAGTTAGAGGAATGCTGAATCGATTCAGGCATGTACACAGGTCGGTCTCAATGCTCTGGTGCTACTTGGATCCCGTGCTTCGCTTCCGCCGCTAGAAAACCCATAATATGCGGACCCCAGGCCTAGGCTAACGGATCCTGCAATCGCCTGAACTTAAATGCAACAGTCTGACATCCTGATACTCTTTGCGATTCAAGGCACGTGAACCCGGCAGCCGAAGGGAGGCTTGAGGTTGGGAGTGATCTGCTGCCTTGAGCTGCTCTGCTCTGCGTGTCTTAAAGCTTCGCAAGAGCCGGCTCGCGGCTTGAAACCACGGCATGAAGTTTCAGTTTTCGTGCACATATGGCAAACGGGAGATAACACAAAAGAACCAGTTCAGCAGTTGCGGGCGAGCACTTAGGTATTGACAAAGAAAGCCCAATCCTTTTACTTTCCGGAAGTCCACATCTCAAGTTTCGAACGCTATCAAACGCTCGCACAGGAATTGAAGGCTCTTTGGCTACCACCCATCAGCCCAGGCCGCTCAATCCCGCGCCGTATCCGTGGTGCCAGCGCGAATCCTGGCTTTCGCGAAAGCACGCACGACCGCAGGCCTGTATCGTTGAGGACGAATGCGACGCTCGACAAGACTTCCTCGCTTGCAGTTCTCCAAAGCTGGAAACCTGCGTCTCTGGACGGTCCTGCTTCCCAAACCCTCCTGGCATCCACCAGGTTCAAGTCTTCCAGATAGCGCCGCACCTTCTCGTGGATGGATTGGTCCTGGCGAGTGCTGAGGCTTTGCATCTCGCTGTGAGCGCCCCCTCCCGAGCAGAGCTATAGGCTGTCCTCGTCATAAATCCCCAATGGATCTTCATCCTCGCACCTCGGTGCGACGCTGCAGTTCGTGCCAGAACGGCTTGTGACTGAAGATGCTGATTCATGTCGCAAGGTTCTAAACCTCCAATTGGGGCGAAGGAAACACATAAAATACATAAAACTTACAGACACCTGCTGCCTATTCTCGGAAGGACGCTTTTGCCAAAAATCGACACCGGTTCCGCTGGCTGAAAATCCGATCCCAACTGCAAGCCGGCAAACGTCTGGACATCTTCGAGGAAGGGGACGCAGTCCTGCGCCGAGCTGCCTACAATGCTGGGCGGGTCAAACTCGTGTTTGCATCCGGGTGCTTATGATGGACACTGCGAGATTGCGATTCTGCTAAGTTTGATCATCATACCAGCAAGTCGATACACACATGCAGGGCAGATGCTTCTCTCTCTCCCTCTCGCTCTGTCTTTCTTTCGTCAGGGCTATGGGCAAGGGGAAGTTCCGTTTCTCTCTCTCTCTCTCTCTCTCCCTCCCTCCCTCTTCTCTCCTCCAATTACTTTACCTTGTCTGAGTTCCCTATTATGCAACTGTCATGGGACTCCTCCATAGCCCCACCGCCCAAGACTCCTCTGCCAACTTCTCTGTCGAGCAGTTACCCCTGGATCAGCTCTCAGTCAACGTTTGGCGAGACTGCTGGCAAATGCTCTCCTTATCTCTGCTCCTTCGTTGTGTGAAGAGATGTCGTGGAAATGATGCACTTGATCAAAGGGAGCTCTCAAAGGCAGCCCCTGCTCGTCCCCTTCTGTGACCCAGCCCCTGCTGCAAAGGAATGCTATGCATCTCGGTTCGAATTGTGTAGGGAGCACTGCCAGTCCTCAGCATGGTACTCCCGCTCGTCGTGGCGGATGGCCACGGGCTTTCTCTCAAACCTCATGAGCTCAGCGAAAGGAAGGATTATGCGGTTAGGTTGATATTACACCCAGCCTTACATTGCAAATACAACATGTTCGTCACCCTGATCGTCAGTACGGAGTCTTCTCGCACCGTGCTGCAAAGGCTCCGGATCAACCCACCTTCCCCAAACCCGTCCGAGGCGCACATCAAAGCCTGCTAGCTTCGTCGGCATCACAGCGAGCCTCAGCCCAAGACAGACCAGAAGATCTCCAGAACCGATGCACAAGATGTCAACAAGCAACCGAACGGTCCTCACGCGCCGTGAGCAAGAAAAATAAACCTGGCTGACACGAGGTAGGGAGCAATCCCGGCCAGGTGGAGGCCACGTCGCGGATGCGCACCTCCGCAATGTCCTTTCAGTGGCCATGACACAGCAGTTAAGTTTGTGGAAAGACACCAGCGTCGTTCTCCGTCTCATGGAATGTTTTCAGTGCAACGTGGAATGGAGACGACTCCAGGCATGCATGATCACACTGACCCTTGGGCGATCCGCTCAAGAAGCTCATCAGATATTGGATCTATGTTCCAGTAGGCAAGATCACAATTTAAAGAAGGGTGCAGAGACAACGTTCACAAGGTGCAGGCAAGCAGCTGCCACTGGAATGACAGTGCTATGCGCGACCTGCTTTGCTGTCAGAGCTTGCTGGCCGGTCCAGCCATCCGGCTTATCATGCAATGCCCTGAAATGTTACAATATGGCAAAATTATGTAATGCAAATAAAGAGGTGCGATTTGTATACTTATCGCGTGATGCGGTTGTTTTGCGTGTGCTCAGCATTCGCCCGTGCTTGCATATGTAGCTATCGTCCTTTTACGTCTCACTTTCGCCGCATCCGCTTGGCTATACTATCAGCTTCGCGCCCAAAGTTTACTGCGCAGTGTTCTACCCTGATAAAAACAACTGAAAACGACGATGCTATCGCTTTCCGTGCCGCGCGACATCGACTACTGAGGCAATGCGTAATCAAAAGTGTCGACTGTCGTATATCACTCTATCATTCACAGTATGATACAGGATTGCTGGGCACCTCTAACGAACAGACCCCCCCACCCGAAAACCAATTCAAAAGCACTAAACATCTGTGAAACACATACAGACAAAACGAGAGACAGCAAAGCCCTCAACACCCCAAAGTCCCACGCTCACCTCGCCGAAAAGTCGAAATGTTTTCTACTCCTGGTGCAGTGACGGCACAACATGCACAATTAGAATTCGGAATGGCTCAGGACTAGGATTCAACACGATCCGACATTGGTAGCGCACCTGGCTGGGACCGTTCGCATAAGCAGCGAAAACGGACGGAGAGCCTCTGCATCTGCACACTTCACGCTGACAGCGGCATGCCAGCACTAAAGTGTGAACCAAAGCGGTGTGCGGGAGGAATTGACACTGGTTTCCACTATATAGCCATGACTGCATGCAGCAATGCTTCATGCAGACTGTAAATGGTGATTTCAGACCGCATCAACGGAGCCATCACGTAGTTGCCCAGAGGTCAACGCGAAGCCTAGAACCACCCCCGCCGTTGTCTTCCTACGGTCAACAACCTAATTGTGATCACCTGAAATACTACAATTATGGTACAACCGTAGTGTCGATGATGCTTGTACACTTCTATACACATGACAAAAACGACAATAACATTAGTTAATAGCTCGCGACGCGACTGTTGATTGTGAAGCTGGTGATGATGACATGATAGCAATCATGGCGACCAGCACTTCCGACTTTCTGAATCTGAAAACCCCGAACCCCACGACCAGCCGCGGCTCCCATGTTCGCTGGTCCAACTAACACGGTGTCGGAGACGTGTCCCTCCGTCCACTGCTCCCCGAGCACCCCAAGCATGTAGTTGATCACCTGCCGATGAAGCATCGGCAAACAAGAGCCAACCTTCTGACAAGGATGTTTAAAACAAGCCCGTCTGGGGTGAGATGCTCCGGTACTCTGCGATGATTGTCGACGGGGTCGGGCTCCATGCTGGAATCGACATCGAAAACACACGCAGACACATGAAAGTCCAAACTCTGACAGCCCTGGCCCAAACCATCTGTACACGGCTTTACACTATCGTCCTATCGGCATGCTGGCATCTACGATAGATGGATAGACAGATTTACGTGGTAAACTTCACATATGCATCTACATAGACAGAAACACGTGCATGTAAACATCCATCAATGGCACATACACTAACCCTCAAACCTGCACATGCAAGTACACGTACATCTGCATGATACATGTATGCACATGTACGCACAAAATTACATACATACACACATACATACATACATACATACATACATACATACATACACACATACATACATACATACATTCATTCATTCATACATACATACGTACATACATACACACACATACACACACACATACACACAGACATACATACAGACATACATACAAACATACATACATAAACACATACATACATACATACATACATACATCCATACATCCATACATGCATACATGCATACATGCATACATGCATACATGCATACATGCATGCATGCATGCATGCATGCATACATACATACATACAGACTCGAACAATTACATGCAGTTACATACAGATACATCAAGTGCATACAATCACATGCAATTACGTACACATACCATACACTTTCATACAATTGACAGTGGTTGACATGCGCCAGCATCCGCCAGCCTACTACACGCACGCGCTCCATTTTGAGACGCTCGATCTGGAGCTTCATGCTGAGAATCACTTGTCAACTGCAGAGCATTCAAGGGATGACACAAAATGTCCCACCTCCCCTCTCCAGTTCCAGGAACTGTACTCTGCAGGGCAGCGGAGATGGCTGCACAAAGCGCAGCAGGTGGGTACGGCGGAGCACGAACAGTCAGAAACTGGCTAGAGAGGTCGGTGCCTTGCAATAGAACTTGCTTGCGACCCGATGCCGAACATCTTCCCTGACAAGTGTACGCACATACATACATACATATATACATACATACATACATACATACATACATACATACATATGTGCATACATGCAGACATGAATATGCATACATCCATGCATGCATACATGCATACTTGCATGCATAAATACATCCGTATCTACCTACATACATACAGACCCAGACAAGTACATGCAATTACATACAAATAAACCAAAGTACATACAATCACGTAAACTTACGTACACCTACATACACTTTCATACATTTAACATCACATACAGTTACAGAATTATACACAATAAAACTGCAAGACCAGTACGCACAATTCCGACATACAGACGTACATACATACAGACATACAGACACACAGACATACGGCATGCAGACATGCAGACATCTTGGTCTCAAAACATACAGACATACACACCTACACACCTACCTCCCTCCCCCGGCTCCTTTGCTTGTGCCCATCCCACCCCACCTCCACCCCACCAACGGCACCCCCCGCCACCCCCCCATCGCACCACCACCCGCCCACGCACCTACCTCCATCCATCAATCAAGACAGACAGACAGACAGGACGGCAGGCAGACAGACAGACAGACAGACAGACATGCATACATACGGACAGACATACGGACATACCTACATACATACCTACATACATACATACATACATACATACATACACACATACATACATACATACATGCATGCATACCTACCTACCTACCTACCTACCTACCTACCTACCTACCTACCTACCTACGTACGTACGTACGCACATATACACACACGCACACACAGACATGCATACATAAACACAGACACGCATACATACATACAAACACACACACACACACGCACGCACATATATATACATATACGTATGTGTATATATGTGTATATATAATATATGTATGCACGTGTTCTGAGTCTCAGCAGCCGGGGCGTCTACATTGGCTCATGCGGTGCCTGAGCACCCATGGAATGGCCGATCAGGGTGACCGGAAGACCGCCTTCCACACATCTTGAAGCTTTGCCCGAGATCTAAGACCAAACTGGAAACTTCCAAGGTCCTGTTGCATAACTTCTTCGACTCAACTCTTCAGCACACTTGGCGGGTGAACCACGCAGAACTGGACCTGAACCACAACTAACTTCTTTGCACTTCTACACTTGATCATGAACTCAGCTCTGCCTAAACAAGTAGACTGAACTTCATGTGCATATTGAAGCGCTCGCAACCCCGAGGACATCCTCCTAGGAGTTAATGACATGATGTGGCGGACCTGCGATCTTCACTGCATGCTCGATGGTCTGCCTCGTGGCTTCTGTTAGGTGCTCCCGCGAAACACAGCAAACAGCAAAAACGGGGAGGGTGTCATATCGTGCCCCGGCGCCCTTGGAGATGTCTGAGCATTGGGTGGCCGGAGGACAACAGGGAGCGGTTTACGAATGTGAGGCAGTCTTGTGGACCTCGCTGGTTCGCAAGCCCAGCTGCTGGAACTGCTTTTGCAGCTCGTCCACGAAAAGCAGATCGCCCCACCTCACAGTGAAGACCCCAAACCCTAAACTCCGGTCCTAAATTGCCAAACCGCCCTTGCTTCTTTCGCTGGAAGCTGCTACAGCGATGGCGGAGTCGGCAAAAGAGCAGGCGACCATGAGGTAACATGACGGCAGGTTCTGACCTTTGCCAGCACATCCGAAAGGTTGCTGTGCGTGCCACCTGCATCTCAACTGATGACCTTTCGCATCCTTTCGCTGTTCGTGGCGCCGCAGGAGCCAGCCCCTCGCTCCCTCAACCTGGCCTGCCTGTCTCCCCAAGTTGAAAAGGCGGACATGGACGCCTCCGCCAGTCATAGTTGAAGGCCAGGCAGTTGTAGTTCGGGGACAAGTGCTCGATGAGGTTGTGCCAAAGATACCTGCAAGCAGGGCTTGGCTCTTCCTTACCGTCGGCGACACCCGAACAATCACGTGAGTAATGTGTCACTCCATGTCCAGAAAGGTTGACTTGATTGAAACTCGACCGTGCTGTCAGGGCACACGGGTGTGACAGACGACTCGGGCCCAGGATTCAGTGTCCGAATGCCATCCAAACCACGCACCGGCTGCACGTCAACGTTGGTGTACCTTGGATGCCCGCTGCGAGTTCATCAGAACTCTACTGTGTCTGTGCAGCTTCACATACCTAGCAAGACTCGCCATACCATGAACACCTAAAGAACAACCGGCCTATGGCTCGGGTTCTCAAAACTTCAGGTGACAAAGCGAACGCTGAAGCCTCGGGCATCACTGTAAGATGAAAACAGAGAAAGGCGCGGCTTCCAACCCTACTCCCGCAGTATCCCGTGGAGATGATGCCGGAATCATAAGGGTCAACCTCTAGAAACGCGCTTGGACCAGGCGAGGTGGCCCAGTGCTGGTCTTGACCTGAGATTCCGCGCGGACTGAAGTCCTACACCTGATTGCCACCACACGGGGGTCAACATCATCATTACCACCATCACCATCACCATCGCCATCACCCTCCTCCTCCTCCTCATCCTCAGCCTCAGCCTCATCATCATCATCATCCATCATCATCCATCATCATCATAATCATCATAAACATCATCATCATCACCATCATCACCATCCATCACCATAATCGTCATCTTCATCCTGATCATCATCATCATCATCATCATCATCATCCTCATCCTCATGATCATGATCATCTTGTCGGCATCGCCGTCCTGGGTCATCTTGCTTGGCTTAACATCACCATCGTCATCACCTTGTCACCATGGCCATATTCAGTCTCATCACCGATACCGTCAGCATCACATCGTCATCAACATCATCACCACCATCATCACCATCACCGCCATCACCGCCATCATCATCATCATCAACAACAACATCATTGTGACCACCGCAACCACCACCACCGCCGCCGCCGTCGCCACCACCACCACCACCACCACCACCACCACCGTCATCATCAACTCCTCACTTTCGTCAGGCTCATCCACATCGCCATCACAATTGTCAGCAACCTTGTCATCACCTCATTCAGCATCGTCATCCTGATCATCAGCATCATCATCATCGTCATCGTCATCGTCACAGCCACAGGCATTGTCTACCTCACCATCAACCTCGTCGGCATCTTCCCTATCAACAAAACCATCATCACGATCATCATCATGATATCCATCATGCAACGCTATAGAAACCATCCTCCACATCGGCATCATTCATCATCATCGTGCTCACCAGCAACATCATGTATCATGTTCCTCATGATCCAGATCAGCACAGTTCCGCAACGCTAGCCATCAATCCGGCCTGGTCTTCCTCTTCAGCAAAACCAAAACCAACAGCAAATAAGAGCATCCTCATCGTCATTGCCTCTGCATCACACGTGCCACCACCAAATATCGGGCATTGACACAAGACTCCCCATCGCCGTTAGCACTACGACTACCAAGGTCAAAGCAACCTGTACCAATGCATGGTAGCAGGATACTCCACCTCCAGCAAGAACACGCAAGCAAGCAATAACAAAAGAGCAAGCCTGATCCAAAAACAAGCGCAATATACAGCACATAGTCTACAGCTCTATTGATTGTGGAACGTCACCCATTGCTGCGGCCATCTGAGCTGAAATCTAGGAACACCGTGTCTAATCAGCAGAGCATTACATGTCAATGCATAATGTTGTCACTTGGCCAAATACCATGCTGCATAGCGAGACGCAGTACAGTTTTTGACAAGACGTGAAGCATGGCCCGGTGCTTCAGGCCGACTGCAGGAAAATGCCTGTAACAACATTCCACTGGCAAACCTTTAGCACTCTGTTCCTGCCTAGTCTCGCACCCGAGCCTAACATATCCTAAAGCAGTGCTAGGTAAGACTATGATACATGTCTGCTGGTAGGTCCTGGCTCTGGCCAAAGTCGTAGAAGCCAGCCAGCAACCTGAACCTTCCAGCCCACTATCATCACGCAGATCCCCAAACCCGAAAACCTCACGAATCCAGAAACACTTTACACCCTGCAGCTGAAGATTGCAAACTGCTTGAAACTTGTAAACCTTGCCCGCAAGCCGGCGCCCAGATCCCTTCTTGAAGCTGGTACAAGTACACACAATAAACCTGAGCCCTGACCTGAACCCTTGTACACCGAAAGCTGCATCTCTTGAAGCCCGCGATACTCGACAAACCTTGATGGTATGACTGTGCGGGGCTCTTAAATTCAACTGCTTAGGCTGGAGGGGGATGTGGTGAGGCACATCCTTGTAGGGTGCGCTGCCAAGGCGCTGTCTCCACCCCAGCCCTGGAGGTCGCTGGCTCCAGCTTCAGGCCCAGGCTTTTCCTCGCAGATCCAGGCATCCCGGACCGACAGGGAAAATCGTCAGGAGGAGCAGCCTAACTGACGTAAAAGCGGTACATGCAGGTGCTTGAAACACACACACACAGAGACACAGACAGACATACACATACATGCATGCATACATACATATACATAGATGTACACACATACGTACATGGATGCACAATACATACGAACCTAAGTGCATACAAACGTACGTATGCACAGCCAACTACACTATACACACACACAGCATGTACGTGTGGATGTCTGTACGTGTACGTGTGCATACGTGGTTGTTGCTATATGTATGTGACTGTATGTGTGTATATATATATGTGTATATATATATGTATAAATATATATATATATCTCTCTCTCTCTCTCTCTCCCTCTCTCTTTCGGCAGGGTTATGGGCAAGAAGAGAATCCCCTCTTACAGTATCTCTCTCTCTCTCTCTCCCTCCCTCCCGGGCATAGGGGTCGATCAAGGCTCCTGGGCCTTTAGCCCACCCGCAACTGTTTTGCGGGGACATGGGGGGTGACGAGCGAGCATAAAAAAATTCGACAGCAAATGCGTTGGTGATTGTATGCTCTCAATGACACATGCATATACTATATGTTTCCCCTTTCCACTTAGGAGGGAAGTAGAGATAGTTTCAGGCCTGAGGGTGCGAGGAACAATGGAGAGGGGACACATATGTATATATATATATGTATGTATGTATGTATGTATATATATATATGATGCAGGGCTGCCACAACCCCCCCTCCGCCCCATGGTATCCTCCGCCCCCTCCCCCCCATGGGGTGGGGTCTGTGGTGGTACCCTTCCCCATCCCACCCCGCCCCTGTGGTTTTCGTTCTTGTGGTGGGCTTTGCCCCCCACGCAACACGTGTGACACATGGATCTGTTGTCACGATCAGCGACTCAACTACTGCTACGTGGAACTTTAAGAGCACTTGTTCCGATCTTTTCCACCACCATTCATGTCTACAACTGCATTATGTTCGTGCGGCCCGCATCCGCCGTTCCTGAAGTTGTTATGTGTTACTCCTTATCTTCTTTCTTGCTGTGGCACCGGTGGTACTGCTCATGATGTTATGCTGCTCTAGACTCTAGACGGCGACGCGAGTCGACAAACAGATCATCTTTGACATCATTCTCAACATCATCATTGTCGTCGTCATCTTCATCATCAGTACCATCCAAACTAGCTGCAACCATCACCATCGCCATACAACCCTCTCAAATAAGCAGGAAACTACTGCGCAGCTGGCTGCTTTCCGCGCAGGGCAGGAGAGGGAGGGGCGGGGACGTGCGGCACAGGGCCGGAAAATTTCAGCCACACCGGGGGCGGGTGGGGGGCGGGAGGTGGGGGCCCGGGACCCGAGAGCATATAAATACGTGTATGTATACACACACACAAACACACGCAAATGCAGATGCACGTGCATAAACATAAACATGTACAAGCACATACACACATACATGTAAATATATGTAAATGTACATATGCATACAAACCGATATCTTCATCTATATACACATACACATACATATATGCATACACAAATGTGTATACATGTAAACATATAAACATGTCTATGCGTTCATACATGCATACATACATTTACGGCGTATATGCGTATATGCATATATACGTATATACATATATACACATATACATATGTACATATATGCATACATACACATAAGCACATAGATGAGTGTACTATGTAGTGCATGTACTGTACGTGCTGCATGTACTTGCTGCAATGTGTGACACTGAAAGTAACACGTATATATATAGAGAGAGAGATTTATATTTATACATATATGTGTGTATATATATATGTTTATGTATATGTATATGCATATATATATATATTTATTTATTTATTTATATAAAAGTGTGTATGTATATACACGCATATATATATATACATATGTAGATAGATACAATTATTATGTGGACATATAAACATGTGTATGTATATATATATATGCATATGTGTGTATTATACATTTTCACTTTGTCAACATCCGAGACGCATGATGTGGGGTCTTTTGAGGATCTCCGAGATGCTGACAAACCTCACTCGACAGCTCTTTGGTCGACTCTTAATCGCTTCAATCTTGCAGTGGCCCAATTCCAGCAGATTGCGCCAAGACATACAAGTGAAGGCTTGCAAGCATGAGACTGTTGTCATCCAGCTGCGAATCCCGCTTGTAGTCAGGAATTTGCTTGAATTTTGATCTCAGCATTGAGGAGGTTTGGTTGGAGAGCTCGGCACTAGCAAGCATTGACAGAGGCGAAGATGAACTTAAGGGCAGCCAAAGCCGCACGATTCGTGGATGCTCATCCTCGGCTGCGGCTAGACACAAAACGAATAGCATAGATCGAAGCCAGTTTAGCGAAATCAGTCCAGCCCTACAATGGATTGGGGGTGGCACTGCAAACCTGTTTTCCTGCAAAGTCGCAGCTGGATCCGTCAATTCGGCAGGTGAGATCATGCAGCTGGTCTCAGGGTGTGACTGCGACCGTCAGGGTGGTGGTGCTTGTGCTCGCATTCAGCTCCGGGCTCGGACAGCAGTGAGGTGCCCAGCTCTGGACGTCTCCGCCTGAGCAGCTTGCCTTGCAGTCCTCACGTGGCCCACTTGCGGGGCAGGTGCACCACAATACACCGTCGCGCCAGAAGGTGTCACCTTTCTCCTCCACCTCCTCACAGCCTTTCATCAGGCTCGCAACCGCGAGCACTGCGCTTGCTTTCAGGACACGGCATCTCATGTCAGCAGCCCAGGCTGAACTTAGTACCTAGTGTGACGAAGGGCCGCTTTTAAGCTTTTGGCTATCGCAGGGAAAGCAATGACGTCCGGCTTGGAGTTGCCACGTAAACGGAATGAAATGTTAGAACAATGTCACTGACCCCCGGGAGCCCGCAGCTGCAGCAATCCTCAGGCGCGAAAGGACCTGGGAGGAATTCTGACTGCGTACGAGCAGCCTCACCATCGCAATGGTCGCAAAGGAAGCCTGGAGAGGTTCAGAGCTGTGAGGGTTTCTCGGAAGCTGCGACACTGCCCTCCACACTCTCAAAGCCTTTGATGCACCCAAGCTGCTAGCCCCCTTTGTCGCACAGGCTTGGAGCGCACAAGAGGCCAGGCCGTGCCTTTGCACGTGATTGGAGTGAGATCTTCCTGCTCTATAGAGCCAGCCAGAAACCCCTCGGAGATGCACACCTCCTTTGCGTGAGCTCCCAAGAGAACCTGGTAGACTGATCGAATACAAACATGCGTCCCCAACAACAGCACCACATCAACTCTGATTTGATCTCCGTACTACCTGGACAGGCTGAAGGCATTTGTGTGCCACCATCCGGAACAAAAAAGGATCCAGCAATTGAATTTTTGAGGAGCATGTTGTTTGACTATTTGGAGATAGGCAACATTGATTGCTTGCGATCAAATATGACCATGAGACCTGCTGGTTGCATGTATGCGTCAGCATATGTCTCCAGCAACCGTTCAACCAGTCAGATTGGGGGGGGCGGGGGGGTTCTTGTCAAAACAGTCCTGGGCCATGGGTTTTCGGAATTAAATACTACCTGGTTTAACGGGTCTGCATCTCAGGATATGACCAAAGAGCTTCAATTGGCTTTTCTCCATGTGTCACCGAAGTGCTCAAAGTTAGCGTGATAATTCTGGCATATTCCTGGTACATCCGTTGACTGTTTGTTCTCCACCAATATGGGAGACTTTGCCAGGATGCGTCTCAGGCTTTGGTTGCAAAAATGCCTTTAGTTTGGATATTTCATCATTCGTCATTCGTATACATTGAGGCCCCTTGCAAAAGCTTTGACCTTATGATTGCATGTTTTACTTAGATGTTTCATTTCATTGATGCTTTAGCAGTTTTTCCAAAAATGCTTAGGTCGATTGCAAGTTGATATACAATCTCTGAATCTGCTAGCATTTCCGCCTTATTGTCGAATGAGTCTGTGAGTACAGAGCCTAAGTATGTGGCTGATCTGTGTCTGGTCCTCAGAAAAACGTACTGATGATACTCTTTTGTTTGCTGTATAGGGGTCACGCAGTTCCCATTGTGAAATTTCAACCCATAATACCCACTATGCTTTTCAATTGCATGCAATAGCCTGTTAATACACTACGTGTTAGCTCCAAATATTAGCGTCTCACCTGCAAAAATGTGAGATTTCGGAGAAGCAAAACCATCTTATTGACTGGAGTTGTCCCGGTGTTGTCTGTTCGCACGGACATGTTATTTTAAGAGATTGCCCTCTGGAAGCCAAGGAGAGTGAGCCGAGTCGCACCATGACGACCACACGCTTGCCGACCTCCAGCTCCTGTCGCCAGCGACCCGCGGTGCCATGCGGCTACCATACCGAAATATTACTGCATCTCAACACTGCGAGAACATGTCCCGCTGTTCGGCATGGTACAGAAATACAAAAGAGCACGAAGGAAGGGAAGAAAGCGAGACATACAAGGTATGTGAGATCACTGCCTGAAGACTAGTTGGCTCTGCCGCCCGCACCAAGTGTTCTCGGGATGCTTTGCTGCGCTTCATGCAAGAGGAGCCCCCGCCCCTGGAACTATTCTCGAAACCAACCAACCCTCACAACCCGAAGCCGGGAGAAGTCTAATTTCCCTCGGCAAGCCCTTAAAGGCGGACCCAATTTTCCAAGTCCTCATGGCTCTCGATTTTCGTGGATCCGATGCCCATGGTATCACAGTCGAGCCGCGTTTCTTTGCAATCCTACAACTTTCGGATGCAAAGTTGGTAGCCAAATACCAGAAGAGTGGCGACTTGCGGTAAAAATCTGGAACTCAAGGTGCGGTGCACTGAAGACCCAGACTGGCATGAAAGATCTACCTGTATGGCGGCAACTGGATCTGACGAGCTTGAGCCACTACGACAAGTCCGACCGCCACGAACTTCATCTTTCAACCGTCGTGCAGCTGCGACGCTGCAGTGGCCTTGACCGACACCAGCTCTTGTGCCAATACCTCACGAAGAAGCGATACCAGCGATACGCGATGTACCACAGTCACGAGCACCTCTGAGGATTTTGAGACTGAAGTCCCAGGAAAACGGAAGACCGCGCCTACAACCCCTAGCTCCACCAGTTCTCCAAAAAGCGATGCTGGGGCCAGCGGGTTTCCAGAGAAAACATACAAGCCGATAAGCAGCACCTTCACAAACCCTGAACTTAGACGACACAGAACGATTGCATGGACTCTTGCGAACTCCGGAACACTGGTCTCGAGACTTCTGACGGGGACCGCCTCGCGGAAAAGCCCGAGGAGCTGCTCCGCCTGATCCGCGCAAACGTCCAGAGGAAGGAGCTCGCTCTGCTCTGCCCTGCTCCAGTTAAAGCTAAGGCCCCATGTTGTTTGAAGCTTGTCCAGCGGCCTCGACGCGAAAGTCATCTTCGGACTCCCGGGCCGCCATTCGGTGTCTTGGAAACCGCTTCAACCCCAAAGCGCGACCCTGAACCTAGCCGCGAAACTGTAAAGTTTTCAGACTGTAAAGCATGAACCCCGAGCCTTTAACATCAACCTTCCCGTGCCTGGATCCTTTCACTCATCTGACAATCACATAATATCGGTTATAAGTTATGTCTTCTACTATCACATCCGTTCTGGGCCACAACAGCGGCGGAAGCGTCAACGAAGCTCCCTGGGCCTCTACTGTATGCAAAGCTCTACCGTCGCTGCTCCCTTTTCCGCTCGCTTAAAGCCCCTGTGGCTGGGTCCCTCGGATGGCTCAAGGCCGGGCCCTGACGTCCACGTTCCGGGGAGCCGGCTCACCACATCGAGTCTTAGAGCGGAGCCCTCCATCTCCCCCCCGCGCTGTAGTGTAGCTTGGCTCTGAAAACTATGTGGGATTCTGTTAAGGCTCGGCAAGAACCTTTCGCGAGCGACACTCATGGTCGTTTGGGCGCTAAGATAAAGGCTAGCCGCAGGCTCGGGCGAAGAAGTTTCCGTGTCATGTCTTAGGCCTTTCTACCCTGCGGCTGGCAGCCGGGCAAATGGCCCAAGTTAGATCGCTGAATATCGCTGGGAAGGTGAAACCCTACACAGGTCGATACAAATCTCTCCCGCCCTCGCTGCCGTTACATTGCGATTCCATGTTTGCTATTGCAGATAAGTTCTTGCAAGCCGTGGCATCTACGAAGAACTGGGAAGCAGAGGATGGCAGAGGTTCAGAATTGCACAACCCTTCATTGCAAGCATCTGAAGTTTCTTTGCGTTCTCATGGGTCTTTTGCCGTCGACGTATAGCATACCTTGCTTCGCTTCATGGTAGGTATAATACACGGCTTCTAAAGCACAGAGCTGCGAAAAGGTCGTCATCGGAAACTTCGACGTGTCCGGATAAGCAAGCTCTTCGCAGCAAGATGGGGTAGAGCTCATCTTGCAGACCTGGACTACCCCTAGAGCCGAGATGACAGATTCAGGGTTGCTTCTTGGACAAAGGTCTAGTTGGGACTGGACTGGCAGCTCGTATTGAGGGGAAAGCTTCTTGGGCCGAGCCGACTGGGTTCCAGCTGAAGGGATGCGCTTCCGAACCCAACGAAGTCTGTAACCTCAAGATTCACGACAAAAGCCAACGAGACCGGTGGTGCTCTTTGTGGCGTGGGATATGAAAGCGTCACAATTGAAGAACGGACGCTCTATGTAGCAGCAGCGTTGCAAACGTTTTTGTGCCTGGGGCCCCAACTTCAGCTTGACACGCTGAGAGAGAGATTCCCAGATCGGAACTGCCTCCAGGCATAGACCTCAGAGCTTTTGTCGGCGCTTTGGTCTTCGACGGCGTGTCGGCTTCGGTTCTCTGGGATCACAGTGCTCCCTGCCATGCAGAAGAAGAGGGCGTAGAGCACACCGCGAAGCAACAGCGACCTGTTGATACCACATTTGCTCCGCTCTTGGACTGTAGCCTCGCTGTGCTTTCGACATCTTGTACGCATGATAAGCATCCTTGCACACATGTGTATGAACAATGATGTACACACACATACATGTATGTATGTATGTATGTATGTATGTATGTATGTATGTTTGTTTGTTTGTATGTTTGTATGTTTGTATGCATGTATGCATGTATGCATGTATGCATGTATGCATGCATGCATGTGTGTATGTGTATGTGTATGTGTATGTGTATGTGTATGTGTATGTGTATGTGTATGTGTATGTGGCGTATGCGTATGTGTATGTGTATGTGTATGTGTATGTGTATGTGTATGTGTATGTGTATGTGTATGTGTATGTGTATGTGTATGTGTATGTATGTTTATGTATGTTTATGTATGTTTATGTATGGTTATATATATATATGGTTATGTATGGCTATGTATCTATGCATGTATGTAATCATGTATGTATGCATGCATGCATGCATGCATGTATGTATGTATGTATGTATGTATACGTATGTATACATATGCATCTATGTGTATATATACATATACATATGTGTATATATGCATACGTAAACATACATACATACATACATACATACATGCATACATACATACATACTTACTTACCTACCTACCTACCTACCTACCTACCTACGTACTTACTTACTTGCTTACTTGCTTGCTTACTTACTTACTTAAATATATTTATATATATATGTGCAAGCTGATTGAAACGGTTTGCAACATCTATATTTTCATGTGCTCCCGACTCACGGCATGAAGGAAATACCCGGTACACGGCGAGAGCGAGGCCGCTCCCACGTCACTGGCAACGTGTGATAGTCCAGAAACTGAGCACGGTATATCAACTAAAGCCAACGAGGCTACCGAGAGCCAAACACCGAGAGAGAGCGTACCCTGGGTGTGTCATCAAACGCAGTTGGTTGTGGACTTGCAGCAAATGCTTCTGTGCTGTTCACATAACCAGACACCCACCTGGAAGCATAATCCTGTATGCATCGCCCTCACATTCTGTGATCCGGAATGGCTCTAATGGCTCTAGGGTGTAAACCATTGCCTTGGTTCGGAAATTCTGGATTTCTCGGTAAATGCTTATGTGTACATTGTCCATCAGTGAAAGTCGATGGCTTACCCAGGTTACCCAGGTCCATCCATCCATCCATCCATCCATCCAGACATTCATACATAGCTACATACTGTGCATACATACATACATACATACATACATACAGCCAGCCAGTCAGCCAGGCAGACAGACAGACAGACGGACACACAGACGGACAGAAAGACAGACTCAGGTGGCAGCATCCATGTGTGCATTTGCTGGGGCGTGCTGTTCTGGGTTGGAATGACTCATGGCTCCAACTCCCAGCTTCTCATGCCATCTAGCTCGGCATGTAGTTGCTTGCAGCCGTAACTTGCAGAAGCTTGCAATGTTCCAGGCCTTGTCGCCTGTGATTTTCCAGAAGCCTCCCCAAGGCAGAAAATCAACGCAGACTGCGCCACAATGAGTCACACAGGCTCTAAACACGTCAGTGCGCATCAGGTCCTGCAGTCGATTAAGCTTCGAGGCATGCCTCTTACCTCTTGCAGTTCTACTCCTGGAATCCCGCCAGCAGCGCCCTAAGACCCTCGGACCTGCTTCAAACCTGGAAAAACCCGAACAGCCCAAATCCCAACACACAGGAAGCCCAGAACCTCTGAACTCGGCTTCGAGGAGGGCGTCGGAGGTTTTGGAGGAAGAAGCGACCTTGGCGGTGCAAGAGCATGCAAAAGCTTACCATCAGAGTGCAAAGCTGAGCGAAGCTGAACGCACAGACCGGCCGACCACACCGCCGGGCAGGCAAGGCAAGAAAGGCAAAACAGGCAGACGCGCACGGGCCACCGGGCTCTCGCAACCACTCGAGCAGCTCCTAAGGCCAAAGCAGCTTTGGCGACGGAACCGAGACTCTAAGCACTTACGAGAAACTCCGTGCTGCGCTTGAAAACTTTTTAGTGCTCTTTCTGCATATGGCGGCAAGGGCGACTCCCTCAGACAAACCCATACAAACCTGGGCCAACGACCCCATCCTCAATCTCAAACCCAACAGAAGAGGAACCCAGTCCTTGGCAGCAGTAAGGATGGGCGTGATGAGGGCACCAAGCAGCACCTGCGACGTGTCTTGTGCACTCAGGAGATACTGCCCCTAGCCCAGCATGCCCAGACGGAGTTCGTCCAATCCTTGCTTGGCATTGCTTGGGTGCACTTCCTCGAGAAATGCACGTTTGAAAGACGACTGCACCGGAATCTACCTGTACAAATCTCTCTTCAGAGATCCCTGTCGGAGCAAGCCGAGGCAGAACTCCCCCTAAAGCTCCTGGCCTCGAGCCATGCACTCCTGCGCAAATCGGGGAACCCCAGAGCATCTCTGCACGGGAACAGATGAAAATCCTCCTCAGAAACAAAGCAACTCCAAGCTCACCGACCTCCAGTCACCCATTCCCACAGCCCGTCCTCAAAGTGCCGACCCACCTTGGCGAGGTCAATAGGTCGGCAGGGATCGGAGGATGATCAACGCAGATAAGGTCATTGTCGTTTGTCGCAGGCATGATCGACATCCCCACAATCAACTCACGAAGAAGGCAAACAAGTAGCCCCAAATCACCTGCAGTAGAAATCTTTGCCCAGCAGCTCTGAGATGACGGACTGTGGCGCATCTTGCGCCTGTCAACCCCATGACTTCTGAGATTCTGTCAGATTTTGCCCTCATTGTTTGGCCATAGTCGGGTTTAGGGCTGCATTGAACCTGAAGAGCGGAGCTGCTTGGATGTTCCCTTGAACGTGATGCTGGAGGCTGTGGAAAAACTTCGGGCACACCAGAGGTGCACGCTGACTGGCCTGTTTTTCTCTGTCAGAATGCTGGGTGTCTTCGTGGCGCCTCAGATCAAACGGGATGACTCAGGATGACTGTTTGCAGCTCATCGCAGGGTAGGTGCAGGTGGAGGGCCCTTTTCCCAAAGCCGCAACGGCTCAGGGATGACCTAAGAGTAACCCTGCATTGCTTGACACCGATGGCCAAGTCACAGCATTCCGCAAACTCGAGGCCCTTTGTCAAGACGCTACAATAAGACAATTGGACTGTGTAGTCGCTGGGGACGGGCCCAAGGTTCGGATGCTTCGCTGCTTCGAGTTTCGAATCCCAGTGGCTGACGCTGCGCGCGCGAGCAGCCACCGCGGTCCGAGGACTCGCCGGGCCGGGTTCTGGCCAGGACAAAAAAGAAGAAGACAAGAACAACGCCGTGATGATGGCTACAGCGGCAGTGATCGAAGCATGCAGACCAGTCGATCCAGTCGTCGCGGCGGCAGCAGCAGCAGGGGCAGCTGGGCAGAGCAATGTGCAACAGTTGCTGTTGGTGTTGGTGTTGCTGGCAGCGGCGGTTGTTGGGGTGCTTGTGTTGGGGATGTTGGTTAGTCTTATCGTTGTTCCTGCTACTGCTACTGCCTTGTTACTACTGGTTCTGGTATTACCAGTCTTCTAACTGTCATCATTTTGGTTGTCGTTGCTGTTGATGTTGTTGCTGTGGTTGTGGTGGTTGTTATTGCTGTTGTTGTTGGTATTCGTGTTTGTGTTTGTATTGGTGTTGGTGCTGGTGCTTGTGCTGGTGTTGGTATTGTTGCTGTAGTTGTGGTCGTTGAAGTTGTCGCTGTTGTTGTGGGTTTATCTTCGTGCTGTTGTGGTGGTTGTTGTTGTTGTTGGTGGTGGTGGTGGTGTTGCGGTGTTGTGGTGTTGTGGTGGTGTTGTGGTGTCGTAGTGTCGTGGTGGTTCGGGTTGCTGTTGCGGTTGTTGTGGCTGTTGTGGTTGCAGCTGTGGCTGCTGATTGAAGTTGTGGCTGTGATTGCGGCTGTTGTTGTTGTGGTTGTTGTTGTCGTTGCGCTTGTTGTTGGCTGTTGATTGTTGCTTCTTGGTTCTTGGTTCTTGGTTCTTGGTTGTTGGTTGTTGTTTGTTGGTTGTTGTTTGTTGGCTGTTGGCTGTTGGTTGTTGTTGGTTGGTTGGTGCGTGTTGTTTGTTGCTTGCTGCCTGTTGCGTGCAGCTTGTTGCGTATTGCTTGTTGCGTGTTGCTTGTTGTGGGTTGTTTGTTGTGTGTTGGTTGATATGTGTTGGTTGATATGTGTTGTTTGTTACTTCCTATTTGTTGGTTTGATGGTTGTTGCTTGTTGTTTGAGGTTGGTTGTTTGTTGTGTGTGTTGTGTTGTGTGTGTGTGTGTTGTGTGTGTCGTGTGTGTCGTGTGTGTCGTGTGTGTCGTGTGTGTCGTGTGTGTGTCGTGTGTGTCGTGTGTGTCGTGTGTGTCGTGTGTCGTGTGTGTCGCGTGATGCTTTTGCTTGTTGCTTGTTGCTTCTTGATTCTTGCGTCTTGCTTGTTCTTGCTTATTGCTTGTTGCGTGTTGCTTGTTGCTTGTTGCCTGCTGCATGTTGCTTGTTCTTCTTCTTCTTCTTGTTGCTGTTGTTGTTGCTTGTCTGTCTGTCTGCCTGCCTGCCTGCCTGCCTGCCTGCCTGCCTGCCTGGCTGGCTGGCCGTCTGTCTGTGTGTCTGGCTGGCTGTCTGTCTGTCTGTCTATCTGTCTGTCTGTCGATCTCTTTGGTTGTTTGTTTGTTTGTTCGTTGTTTGTTCGTTTGTTCGTTTGTTCGTTTGTTCGTTTGTTCGTTTATTCGTTTGTTCGTTTGTTCTTCTGTTCTTTTGTTCGTTTGTTGGTTTGTTGGTTTGTTTGTTTGTTTGTGCGTGCGTGCGTGCGTGCATGCGTGCGTGCGTGCGTGCGTGTGTTTGTTTGTTTGTTTGTTGGCTGCCTGTTGGTGCATCAGTTTCTCGTGCACTGTGGGCAGGATGAGGCCTCCGATGACGACATTGCAAGAGTTCTTACGCAGCTGCTGCTTGCAAGACCGGAGGCGGAGCCAACTCTGAGCCTTGATCGCAGCGAGCGGTAGCAGTGGAGCTGAAACCGCAGGTCAAAGCTCGTGCGGGCGTGTGCGGGTTCATGTCGGTTAATGATCACGGGGGAGCGGGGGGAGGGGGGGGGGGGTTGCGGTGCATGCATGCTTGCTTTGAGGTTGGCTGTCCTCAACTGTGTTGCCGCTATCCCTGGCGAATTCGGCAGAAAGACACGTGGAGGCCTTGTTGATCCACCTGAGATCGTGGATCTCCCGGAGGCGGCAAGCTGTGCTCTGCTTTGAAGCTTTGCTCGTTTGTGCTCGCGTCGGAAGGTGTCCCTGGATGTCCCGGTGGCAGACCGGCCGAGGCAGCTAAACTGAATGCAAAGCAATGCCCTTTGAGATGCGCGCGTTTCAGGCTGCGTTTTGCGACGTGCAACTACTTCGTGGGCGAGGAGGAACTCAAAGTTGAAGTACAGGCAGACCCTGCGGTCGACTAATCACACCTGGAAAATTCAATGTCATTTGGCAGGTCTTGCGGTCCGGCAACCTGAACTGCGAGCATTTGCCTCAAGAGACTCAAGATGTGTAAACAGCTGCTCAGCTCTTGCAGACCCGCCAAGATCTCAGGTCCAGAGTACAAATGCACACACGGGATCTATCTGCGAAGGCCAAGTTCTCGACATTGGTCGGCAACACCTGTCAACCAGCTCCGCTGTGCGATGCCATTACGCGGTCTCTATAAGTCACACAGACAGGCCGGCATTAACTACGTGCACGCGAGCAAAATGTGTCTTGCCTCGAAAGTGGCTGCACTATGCTGCACCTGTTGTGGCTGGCCCTTTTCGCTATTGCTGTGGCAGTTCGATCGATGCCCTGCCGTGCACACCATTGCATATCTACTTGGTGCAAGGGATGTGGAACGCAAATCTTGTGGTCTCGAGGATGCGATGCGTGACAGAAACCGAGGCTTGTTTTCAAGCCTCAAGCGGAAAGCGTCCTTTTCAGTGTGGACCTGATAGCGCTCGGCTCAGCCTGCTGTTGCTGCAATTTCATGATATTTAATGTCAAGTCTCTTGTTTTGGCTGCAATCCTGAGGCAAGCGACGAGTGGTCGCCCACCCTCGAATTTGAGGTGATGCCCATGGTATCCCATGGTTAGATATGTGTCGCAAGCCGCATCTTCAATTCGGCCGATTAAGGTGGTGCTTGATCCAACAACGGTGACAAATGCCGACTTGGACGCCTACGGAGCCCGCTCTCGTGTTAAGATTGATGACAAGGACCCATGATTTGATTCGGCACATGCCTCACAGGTTTCTGTTTGTAGGAAAAGGTCATGTTGTGCAAGGCGCTTAGCTGATGTTACGACTATGCTTGTTGTGTAAGGAATGTGAGCTTGTAGGTAGGAACAAACCCTGGCGTTCGACCGCAGCTTGTAGCTCGAATCGCCGTTTTCGACATCTTTCGCCTTCCAATGTCTATCTCGCCATCGCCATGTCGTTTGGTGCCGACTCCTGGGCCGCCCTCACCGCGGAACTCGCCGAGCACGGCGGGGTGGACCCGAGCACTGTCTTGACGTCGACGCCTTCGGCATCATCTCGCATGGGGGGAAACGATTGAAATCGCCACTTCGCCCACTCCGCGCATTATGGACACAGGTGGCATTATGCCTGCGCCAGCAACTGTTATGTCAGGGGGCCCCCGGGTGCAGACACGGGCGCACCTCTTTATGGCCGATTTCGTCGCTGGCCAGTGGCTCGGAGCTGACGCGGGTTCTTTCCCCTGGGAAGAATTTGCTCGAACGCTTCTTTTCAGGAAGGGGTGGCGACAGGGACACACATCAACGCGCTGGGGCGAAACCGCCCATCCCAGCTGACGACGACATGCCGGTTGAGGGCCCGGCAGCGGCGCCCGCTAGCCCTCAACACTGGCTTGGTTCGCAGCCAGAGGAATGAGGGACTCCGGTTGGGCACCTCCCCGCCTGGCATCACGGCCGCCGCCCACCGTAGTGCCGGCACGGCATGGGCGAGGGCGGACTGCAGGCCGTCATCATCGACCCATCCTCCTTGACAACACCGGGGCCGGCCAGGAGGAGAGCCTGTCGGCTTTGGCGCAGGCGTCAGGAACATCGCTGTCTGTACCGTGCGCCTCCATGAGCTCGTGCTGGGCATGCCGGCAACGAAAGGCGGCCCTGCCGGTCTCGGCTTTGGCCCGGGCCGACCTGCCTCAGCGCCGGGTCTCAGCCCGCACTTCACTGGCGGCCAGCCAACCTCAATCGGTCCTTGGTTGACTTCCGCGACAACTCGCCAAGTCGACTTATAAGAGGCCTTCCGGATGCAGTTCGCACTATGACCGAAAAGGGGCACTGCACCGTTACTGTGAGAGGTGAAAGTCGTTACCGGGCCCTTTGTTTTGCCAGCAGTCAAGGGTGAATAAAAAAGAAGAAGGCGTTACTTTTAGTGCTTAAGAGGGGTTTAGGTAACCCCAACTTTAGTACGAGGGGATGGCTGGATCGCATCGATCCAGCATGCAAGAGGGCATTCCCGTAAAACACAATGATGCCACGTATGTGTGTCTCGAACGAGTGCTTGTGGAACTCAGCGTCTACATGAGGAATGGCTGGTTTTGACGTGTTGTGAAGCCACTTGTGTCTCGAGGTGGTGCTTGCGAAATCCAGCGTCTACATGGAAAATGGCTGGTTTTGATGTGCCGTGATACCACTTGTGTCTCGAAGGGGTGCTTGTGGAATCGAGTGTCTTGATGGGAAATATGAAATATGTGTTGTGATGCTGCGGATGTATGTCTCGAACGCCACTTTCGACGGCGTGAGGCGACTTAGGGCCGGCACCTGGTTGAACACATGTGTGATAACTGGAGGTCGCGAGGTGCTCGCGCAGGCGTCGCGCAAGACTAAGTAAGTACTACACTCAGACTGCCAGTTATCACTGCAAAATACACAAGTTGAGACTGTTTGTATTAAGTATATCGTGGCAAGACAGCGGCTCGGCAGCAGCAGCTCCACGTGCCCTCATTTCGTTGTATGTGTTGAAAGAACAACCGGGCCATGTGCAGATGGGGTTTCACTGTTGCTGACGTGCTGAAACGAGGCGATGTGACTGCAAAGTGGAACCCCTGTACTGGTAGGAAGGTGTATCTGAGCCCCCAAAACCGTTTCACAAGGTGTATCGGACGCCCCCACAAAGCGGAAGGCGTATCTGAGCACCCACAACCGTGTAAGAAGGTGTATCGGATGGTCCCAAAGCCCCTTCAGAGGCAGCAGAACAGTCTTGAGGAAGGTGTATCGGAGGTTTTACAGGCCCAGCATACACTGCAGGCAATGGTATCTGAGCCCCAAACCTTTAACAAGAGGTATCGGAGCGGCCAACAACCCTTTTAAGCAGCTAAATCGGTACCACCTTCAAAGGCTCGTGTTCACTCGGGGAAAGGGACATGGGACCTGACCAAACGTGTGTTTTTAACGACCTTGGGCTGTTACTGTTGAGCGGGGGAAGCAACAAGCTTGATGATGTTTGGGCGGTCGATTGCTTCCCATTGGCCTGTGCGTTCAAGGGTGTTACCGCTTCCGGTCGTGACTTCTTTGCCTTCGCCGTAACCGGAGCGTTCAAAAGGGTCTAGTAGCTTCCGGAAGGGTCGGTTCGGCCTTTCACCGCTGCCTGTACTAGACTTTTGGGCTAGCACGTCGTTAGCGACGGGTTTGTTTCAGGACGCCTTTCCTTCAAACGTGGTGGATGTGCGACAGCTTGCCAAGAGCCTTTCTTGGGAACATTTGAGGCCAAGTCAAGTCTGAAACATTCTGAAGCATCAAATCACATTCGCCCAACTTACTTGCAACACTACTACGTCCTCACAGGCAGGCTCTCGAGAATGCCCCAATGCTGGTGCTGATGGCGGAATACTTGAAACTCAACTTCCGCAACGATGTCGTGCGACGAGGCCTGGACAAGCGAAGGAAAGTAACATGTGCACCCGAACGAGCCGTGGCGACTTCCTTCGACATCGGTTTGGAGAGGCACCTTCAAGATGTGTTTGCAGGGCCAGTGCCATCATTTGTATGGCATCCTGAGGCACAGGAACTCTCCGTTTGAGACCCAAAGAACCAAGCTGAACGTGTTTTTTGCTCAGGCTTTTCCTCAGCGTGCTGCTGGTGGACCGGGTCCTGAAAGGTAGCGAAGAGGATTGGATGGCCGGGACCACCGACTCCTTGAGCGAGTGGTTGTTCCACACCCGCCATGGGCCCAGTCTGCAATGCGCAGCCCCACGCAGAGGCGGTATTTAGGTTTGACATGTTTATGTGTGTGCGCGACAGGTCGTTTATTTCTTACTGCTTCCGAGTAATGGCTCAATGCCGAGCAGGTTTTGTCGTCGTTTCTCAGGCCCCGGGATGCTGGTGCTCGTCATGAGTGGCATGCTGATTCCATTCGTTGGCCTGCACTACCTCGACTTCATTTCGATGACTTGGAGAGTAGGCGAATTTCGTGGTAAGGGCTAGTGTTTCTTCTGCCAGTGACAGAGCGATGCACCCGGTAGGTGGAACATCACGCGCCCAGCTCTTGTCAGCGCTTGTTCGCAGACTCCTTCACTATGACGTGACTTCCAGGCTAGGGATGTCCGGGGCCAGTGAAGTGGGCGGATGTGGCAAAGACGTCATGAAGGTACAACTGTTTGCGTCGGAGCCGACGTGTTGGAACCAAGGATATGCGAGGATAGCCAAGGCAGTTTGCAGGGGAACAACGAGAGGAAGGAGGAAACTAAGTATGTACGAACAAACGAACGGTGGTTCATGTTTGCCCTTGAGCCACTGAGGTCCAAAAGCCCAGCACTAGAAAAATAGATTTTTCCCAAGCCTGACCACTAAACTAGGACCAAGAAGGGGAGAAGGATGAGAAGGACTGAAATTGTAGAAGGCAATGTTCTACTTTTGAATACCGAAACCTATCTGGACCTACCTGAACATTGGAAGGGCAGATGAGACAGAAAATACCTCCAGCACGCTTTGCAGAAGCACAGTTGGGGTTGGGCGGTGACCAGGTCATACATGTGTCAACATGTGTCATACATTGTCAGACCAGGCCCGACCTGAACCACACAGCTTCCTGCAATCCCTGCATCCCTTCCCGATGCAAGTTAAAGGCCTGATTCGCGTGTGCGGGGTGTTCGTAGCCACTAAGCATCCGAAAATGCAAGACATGAATCGAAACTGCCCACGATTCGCGCAGAACCTCTCTCTGAACAGTCGTGGTGAGCACTCGGTCATGCAGATGTTATCAGCCACCACGAGTAAAAGCCGTAGGTTTTGTAGCCTGACTCTGTGGACAATCGTGGCAAGCACTCGGCCATGTAAGCTTTAACAGCTGGCTACCACACAGGCTCTGACAATTTAAACGGCATTTTCGCTGACATGGCACCGGGAGACCTGTGGCTAACGCGACTTATACCTGCTTTCTGCATGCGCTGCCTTCAGGATACACCTGGCCGAAATCACACTCCCCACGTTTGAGGAAGATTGAGGTATAGCCCGCGCAGAGCGAAACCGGCATCAAACCCGTGAAGCAATGTTTGGGCAAGAGTACTGCAAGAGTAATACTAGAGCTCGCCCACTGGGCAGGATAGACATCAAACAAGGAGCCGAGATAATGGCCATGACCAAGGACCGAAGACAGGACTTTGGATTTGCAAGGTTCTTCGACATGGACTCGAATCACCTGACTCCCAAGGATGTCGATGATATCGTTCAGAACGGTTACATGGGAGTTCTGGAAATTATCTCTCATCTCCAGAATTTGGCAACTGCAAATTCCCAAGCTGCGTGCAGAAAGATCTCGGCGATTTCCCCACAACTGCGCGACTCTTAAGGTCTTGGCGTACCAGGTGATATCACGCCTGATCCTTCAAGAACCGATCAGCCCGTGGAGTATTGCTCCACTCTTGATTCATCCCATACTGCTTGCAATGTTTGCGATTTGCCGCAGCTCGTCCAAAACCTTGCACATGTATTGAAGTGCGAAAGGCGGCTAGTCTTGTAGCTGCCAGCCAGCTTCACCACTTGTAGCCGAGGTCGGTCTGCAACCGTCGACGTGCAACAGGTCGAAAATGCCGAACGGTCTGCCCTGGTCAGCCAGATGCAAAATGCCCCACGGCCTTAAGTTCGATTCTTCTAGACATCAGGCCTTCCAGTCCTGCAGCTTCGCACCTTAAGGTCACCTTGAACAACACGATCATTCGCAACCTTGGTGGGGTTTGGAAAGCCATCGACCAGTTCGAGAGCCGGGTCGCAGGATACAACACAGCGGTGAACAGCACCCTGCAAGTCATGAAGAACAACATCTATTTTACGAACTGGGTTGGTCTGGCTATGTTGGCAGCGCAAGGCACTCAGAAATGAACGAAGCAGTGTTACGTAGGCCAGAATGTGTGGACCCGCTTGGATGGACGTTTTTAGGTACACGCTGGTCGGTGGTCTGGAGGTCGTGGATGGCAAAATGAGGCCTCAAGATTTAACGATTTTAGGCTAAGCCAAAGCTTCCTGCCTAGCTACAGGATGGGCCTGTTCCTTGCGGATATCACATTGTTCACGCAGATCAATGTGACGTGGAGCATGATTTGCAGCTCCATCCTCAGACCCAAAGAGCATTCATTATATTCAGAAGCCACAGCAACACCGGTTTAGTTTGCAGGCAGAGGTGTGGAGATCAACAGCATCTTTCCTGGATTGGAGAGAGCCGGAGTCCCAGCAACACTTTCGCAGAAATTCGCAGAATGCCCCCCCCCCCCCAGTTTTGAGGTCGTCATCTTAATGAATTTGCCAACCGACCTCCCAGAGCGAAGGAGGCTCCTCAGGCGGGGCCGCGAGCCAGACTTGTGGCCACAGCTTGCAGCACTTAGCATTGGCACCGTGCGCAGTGAGCTTGCTCCAAAGACGGGCATGCTTCGCAGATGTACTAGTTACTAGTGGCACTTGCAACGCAGAAAGTTCTATGCGCTTGGAAGTTGGCTGTCGAGTTTGTTCGACGAGATATGCTGGAAAGACCCGGAAGCTGTGGTTGTTTGATTGCTGGGTGCGTGCGCACGCACGATGCCTTCCATGCCCGAGCCAAGAATTTTAGCTTTCGCGACGTGGAGGTGTGCAAGGGCAATTCTTTGTTGGTTTGCACTGTTACATGTAACACCGGCAAATTCTTGGAATGCAAACGCTGAGATCTTCAAAACGGCGACAACCATTTCCACACCAGCACACTGTGCACGGGTTTTTGGTTGGGCGTAGAGAATGACGCAGTCAGCATGTAGCACCCCGCTTCAGTTCTTTTCAGTGCTGTTGCGGGTGCTTCACCGTGGGCTCTATAACTCGCCAAAAGTCGGCATGATGGGACCTCAGATGTGTTCTAGCTTGCCGGGCGTGAGCGTGAACGTCAATGCGACCGAAGCGAGCGAGAGAGAGAAAGAGAGAGAGAGAGAGAGAGAGTAGCCATTTTGGCTCAAGTACTGCACCTGCGCTTGAGGGCCTGTTCCGCCCTTTTGCACAGGGGGGGGGAGGGGGGTTAACTCGAGGTTGTGCCCTCGGGGGAGCCGGGCAGCATCCCCCTTTTTTCGCAAGGCTGCAATACTCAGCGGGCTGCTCACGGTTCCCATGGAGATCATGTGCTTGTAGCACGTCTCCCCCACAGCATGTGGTTTGTGATACCACGGCCCTTCAAGGCATGCCCTGCAGGAAACCCCCATATCTCGCAGTTTGGCTGCAAGCACTTTTTGCTCCTCCCATGTTGTTTTGACTTTGGGTGCTTTGGTCTCTAAGGTTTAAGGTTTAGGGTTTAGGGGTTTAGGGGTCTAGGGTTTAGGCTTTATAGGGTTTGTGGTGCAGGGTTGGGCTTCGCATCCGGAGGTCTGTCTTTCCCTCCCCGTGGCCTGCTCGAGCTCGCCATGGCACCTTCAGGTAGTCCACGTTGATCTCCCCGGGTTCCACAAACAAGTAATATGCTCCGTCCCCCTACTAGAGGGCCACCTTCAAAAGAAGGGCCTCTTTCGGGTTCGGGAGAAGGCGCGGAAAGGACTGGGGCCCCTTAAGCCAGTGGCGACAGGCGTGGAGCTCAAGCACCACTGGGTTGAGAGGGAACTCAGACTGTGAAGCTGTCGGGGGGAAGAGCAGGACGGGCCGAGAGGCATCTCGCCCTCTTTCAGAATACGTCAGGTTTGAGACAAGAGAGGGGAATGCACTTCTCTATGACCCAAGCCCATTGGACAAATGGATTGGTAAGAGCTACAGGTGGGATAGCCGACGCAAGCGCCATGTGGAAACCAGCACGGGGGACGTGCTTTCTGCAAAAGACAGCGAGGACTTCCAGCGGTACAGACGAGACCAAGAAGGACGCGAAGAAGAAGAAGAAGGGGGAGAAAAAAGCAAAGAAGCACAAGAAGGACAAGAAGGACAAAAAGTCCAGGAAGAGCAAACACAACGCTCCCAGCGAGGGGGAGACGGTGGCAGTGCAGCAGAAGCAAGACGATGCCGCAACAGAACCTCCGATCCAAGAGGAAGTGGACTGGGGGAGCGAGGGCGATGCCACTGAACCTCAACCCGCATCGCACGCCAAAGCCGATGGGGGGGAGAGTGACAATGACGGCATGTCGCCGTCTGTGACGCCCCTTCATGCAAACTGGCCTTGGGGAGACCGAGGGCGACCTTCAGACAAGGCAAGCTCCAGCGGCGGGGGGGCACAAAGACCCCGCACGCCAAGCCGCAGCCCACGACGACGAGGGGGAAGCAGTGTTACCTTGCAGCCCGGGCCTATGTGGGAGGCGGTACAACAAGTACAGCGGCATATGTGGAGGGCCAGAACGCAGTGAAGAACATGCAGCAGTGTGAGACGCGTGAAAATTCAAGGGGGTGAGCGAGTGTTCCATGTGGGGGAAGTCGTTTCTAGTGTACTTGCTTCTCTTTGCAAACCCACATGAACTTCCGTTTGTGCCCAGTGTAACTCCATGCATACCGGGGGACCCGCACGTACTCGTTACTGCACGTTTTCTTGTTGCCTTTGTTGCTTCAATGAGTGCGGGCCCTCACAAAACCCATGCCTACAGTAGGGGACGAAGTACCTTTTCGGAACAGTCCAGCAGTGTTTCGCTGAGCCTGGGGTGCGAACTCTTTAAGCAGGACTCGAGGCATGCACAACCTGTCCTAGTCCTTCTCGGGTAAACTCAATCCTTGAAGCCCATTCTGGCTTCCTAATCCCTGGCTCTTTTTAACGCACCCACCAGGTAACCTCAGTGATCTTCCAAATTTGGGGGACAAGAAGGCGCAATTCGACTACGTACATACAGCGGAAACCCAACCTGGGGAACAATGCATGTTTTTCCTTCTGCCCTGCAACCTGGAGGGGGGATGCAGGCAGGGTGAACGCAAGCTTTTTAGCTGTTTTCAGCTTCGGCCGGAGCCTTAGCTGCAACTGCTTGATAGTGTAGTGCACCCTGCCTGTGAGCGAACCTCGGGGAGCTTTTCTGCGCTCTTTGTAAAGCCGAGCCCCCTGTGGAAACATCCACCGGGGGAGAGTTAGCCACCCAGCGGACCGCGGGTGCGCGCTCGCGCGCGGAGGATTCAGCTGGACCGCTGTTTCCTCCTGTCCCGGTAGAGAGAGAGAGAGAGAGAGAGAGACACACACACATGCCTTGGCGCCTCCCTCTAAGTACCTCACCAAGTTGAAGCATGTATGTGTTAGCTTGACAAGTGCGGTTTCTTTCTAGTGGGGGACTTAACAAGTAGACAACAAGACCGTTCGACACCCTTGTTCGGCCAGGAAGCTGGCGGGGGACTTTCGTGTGATTTGTTGGGGGCTGTTACTCCTTTTTGGGGGTTTATTCGTGATCCTGCAGCGGCCTGGGCCTCAGAGTGTAAAGCCTTGTTGTCGTGAGAGTGTTTGTTCCTTCCTAACCTCAACAACGGGGTGCATCCGAAGCGGTCATTGTATAGCCGAGCCATGGGGGAGAAACATCCCCAGTGGATGTCCGAACCCCGCCATGGACCGCGGGTGCGCGTTAATGTGCAGAGGGGGCAGCTGGACCGCCGCTTCCTCTTTGCCCCGAAGAGAGAGA